TCCCTTCCTCCCAGGGTTGTCTACCCCTCTCCGTAGTGCCACTGTCCACTGCCCTTCTCTCCTTTCTAAGAGTTGGACTCCTTCCGTTACAGTCACGTTAACTATCCGCCCCCCCTTTTTCCAGGGTTGAGAATCTCCTTTACCTGCTCACTATCTTCCATCGCACACAACTCTTTCCTCCTAGGGAAAAAACCTTACCTATCGCTCATGAAATCCTTCGCCATCGCCCCCCTCTGCGCTTCTCAGGTTGTACACCCTCTCTGCCTTACCTTCTCACCCTTCCATCCGCCCCCCCTCTCTTCCTCTCCCAGTGTTAAAAAAAGTAAACACTACTCCTTCTCCCTTACAAATGACTCACTACCATTTGCCGGGACCCCCCCCCAAAAATCCTTCCAGTTTGTGAACCCCTCCTACTGGCTCACTCTAGCATCCTCTAAATAATCCTTCCCATCGAGGGTGTCACCCATCTCTCTCTACCTGCTCACTCCTCCGATCCTGTCCCTCCTGCTCATTTGGCCTGTGACATCCCAGGGTTGACTTAGATGATCTCAGTACATAGTCAAGTGTCACCGTCACATTCATAGTACTGTCGTAAAGTTTAAGAGGGTGAGTTGTCTTATGTTAACATGAATTACTTATGTATCCAAAATAAATCTGTAAATGAATGGAAATATACAATTGAAGTACAAAAGTTAAAATCTATAAGAAAAATAAATCCTTCGGATCCTAATTTTACAGAAAAATCCTATCAGTGTGCTGGAGTCTGGTGTAGTGGTCTAAGCTCCCGACTCCGGACCATATGCCCCCTTGGCGACAGGGGTTTGAGTCTTGGCTGACTGTCTGTGCCGTTAAGCACTTTCTGTACCCTTCTCTATATCTGTCTCCATACCTCTACTTACATCTGTCCTGTAAAAAAATAAAAATACTCTGATCTCCTACATTAAAAAAATAAAAATAACATTTGACCTGTAGGAATCCCCCCCCAAAAAAAATCCTATCAGATTTTGGAACCAGTCCTATTGGACTAATATAAGATTCTAAAATAAAATCCTATCGGAGAGGGGCACAATTTTCTCAATGCATTTGATTTGTATACCTGTACATTTTGGCAGTGGTGGAAAAAGTACCCAATTGTCATACTTAGAAAATGACTCAAGTAAAAGTGAAAGTCACCCAGTAAAATAGTACTTCAGTAAAAGTGTAAAGGTATTTGGTTTTAAATATACTTAAGTATCAAAAGTAAATGTAATAGCTCAAATATACTTAAGTATCAAAAGTAAAATTAAAAGTATAAATAATTTCAAATTCCTTATATTAAGCAAACCAGATGGCACCATGTTTTTTTTTTTTTTACATTTACGGATAGCCAGGGGCACACTCCAACACTCAGACATAATTTACAAATGAAGCATGTGTGTGAAGCATGTGTGTTTAGTGAGTCCACCAGATCAGAGGCAGTAGGGATGACCAGGGATGTTCTCTTGATACAGTGAGGGAAAAAAGTATTTGATCCCCTGCTGATTTTGTACGTTTGCCCACTGACAAAGAAATGTTCAGTCTATAATTTTAATGGTAGGTTTATTTGAACAGTGAGAGAAAGAATAACAACAACAAAAAATCCAGAAAAACGCATGTCAAAAATGTTATAAATTGATTTGCATTTTAATGAGGGAAATAAGTATTTGACCCCTCTGCAAAACATGACTTAGTACTTGGTTGCAAAACCCTTGTTGGCAATCACAGAGGTCAGACGTTTCTTGTAGTTGGCCACCAGGTTTGCACACATCTCAGGAGGGATTTTGTCCCACTCCTCTTTGCAGATCTTCTCCAAGTCATTAAGGTTTCGAGGCTGACGTTTGGCAACTCTAACCTTCAGCTCCCTCCACAGATTTTCTATGGGATTAAGGTCTGGAGACTGGCTAGGCCACTCCAGGACCTTAATGTGCTTCTTCTTGAGCCACTCCTTTGTTGCCTTGGCCGTGTGTTTTGGGTCATTGTCATGCTGGAATACCCATCCACGACCCATTTTCAATGCCCTGGCTGAGGGAAGGAAGTTCTCACCCAAGATTTGACAGTACATGGCCCCGTCCATCGTCCCTTTGATGCGGAGAATTTGTCCTGTCCCCTTAGCAGAAAAACACCCCCAAAGCATAATGTTTCCACCTCCATGTTTGACGGTGGAGATGGTATTCTTGGGGTCATAGGCAGCATTCCTCCTCCTCCAAACACGGCAAGTTGAGTTGATGCCAAATAGCTCCATTTTGGTCTCATCTGACCACAACACTTTCACCCAGTTCTCCTCTGAATCATTCAGATGTTCATTGGCAAACTTCAGACGGGCATGTATATGTGCTTTCTTGAGCAGGGGGACCTTGCGGGCGCTGCAGGATTTCAGTCCTTCACGGCGTAGTGTGTTTCCAATTGTTTTCTTGGTGACTATGGTCCCAGCTGCCTTGAGATCATTGACAAGATCCTCCCGGGTAGTTCTGGGCTGATTCCTCACCGTTCTCATGATCATTGCAAGCTGCTTGGCGATGGTCTTGTAGCCCAATCCAGCCTTGTGTAGGTCTACAATCTTGTCCCTGACATCCTTGGAGAGCTCTTTGGTCTTGGCCATGGTGGAGAGTTTGGAATCTGATTGATTGATTGCTTCTGTGGACAGGTGTATTTTATACAGGTAACAAGCTGAGATTAGGAGCACTCCCTTTAAGAGTGTGCTCCTAATCTCAGCTCGTTACCTGTATAAAATACACCTGGGAGCCAGAAATCTTTGTGATTGAGAGGGGGTCAAATACTTATTTGCCTCATTTAAAATGCAAATCATTTTAATCAGATTTTTTTTGTTGTTATTCTGTCTCTAACTGTTCAAATAAATCTACCATTAAAATTATAGACTGATCATTTCTTTGTCAGTGGGCAAGCGTACAAAATCAGCAGGGGATCAAATACTTTTTTCCCTCACTGTAAGTGCGTGAATTTGACAATTTTCCAGTCCTGCTAAGCATTCAAAATATAATAAATGATTTTTGGGTGTCAGGGAAAATGTATGGAGTAAAAAGTACATAATTTTCTTTAGGAATGTAGTGAAGTAAAAGTAAAAGTTGTAAAAAATATAAATAGTAAAGTAAAGTACAGATACCAAAAAAATAACTACTTAAGTAGTACTTTAAAGTATTTTTACTTAAGTACTTTACACCACTGCATTTTGGAATACTGAATGTACTGTATCTCCCCTGATTGTACCACACTGTCACGGTTTCGGCCGAGGCTGCTTCTCCTCCTTGTTCGGGCAGGCTTCGGCGGTCGTCGTCTCCGGAGTACTAGCTGCCACCGTTCTATGTTTCGATGTTCGTTTGGTTTGGTCTGTTTGTACACCTGTTCTTTGTTAGTGTTGATTATGTGCCCTATAAGTTCTCTTAGGTTTTGTCATGTGTTGTGTGTAATTGTTACGTGTCAGCTATGCGTCAGTTTGTTCTCTCTCGTTCTGTTTGTTTTGAGAGAGTGTCCGCACTGTGTGCGCAGTTTGAGTTACGCACTGTTCCCTGTGTGCGTAATTGTTTCGCTTGCCCTCCGGCTGGGATTTTGCCGTGAGTCTTTTGTATTATTTTGATCCTCACTAAAGACTGTTGAAGAGCCTCTGTTGTCCTGCGCTTGATTTCTGCACCACATCTACGCTCAGCCCTTGACACACACACAAAAGGGCATGATCATATAATTATTTCTGTAGGACTTTTACTGTGAGTGTTGAAACCTCTGAAGCACTTGATTGTTGAGAACATCTCCCTAGTCAAAAAATCATATTGGAACCAGTCCAAATGGACTCCTATGGGATTCTATAGGAATAAAATCCTATAGGATAGGTTATAAAATCTGATAGGATTTACTTTTGGATTATAATAGGAATTATCTGTTGGAATCCTATTGGATGGAGTTGTTATCAACAATCAAGTGCTTTAGAGGTTTCAACATCCACAGTAAAAGTCTTACAGAAATAATGATATGATCATGCCCTTTTGTGTGTGGTACAATCAAGGGATATACATTCAGAATTCCAAAATGTACAGGTATACAAATCAAATGCATTGACAAAATTGTGCCCCAGTAGTCAGACGAATTGTATTGATTATGTGTATTTTATCACCTCAAATGACAGTACAGTTGCAGCACTGCAATGACAAAGGTCACACCAACACTAATCACACCTTGTTTGCTTGGGCTATAGGCTCTTTTCATAGTTGTGGCCTATTGAACAATGCATAATGATACAAATAAGGTGCAATATATTGGCCATAAATTGCAGTCAAATACAACATGCATAAAATCACATTTGACTTGACAGACAAGAGCAACATTGCAACTCAATCATTTAAATGCACCCTTTAAATGCACCTTGCATATAAATAAATAAAAAGTCGGACAGTATTGTATTGTCTGAATACAGTATATATTTTTCTGTAGCCTGCAGTAGGCTACTATGAAAAACTGATATCTAAGATCGAGCATGTTGTTCTGTATAAAAACAACAGATTGCATGCATCTCTTTCAGCCTGTCTCTCTCCCACCTACCACAAGTGTCTCCACCTCATCTTTCTTCCCCACTCTCCCACTCTCTCGGTAATCGGTTCGGTAATATTCCTACTGCCTGGAGTGAACTACCAATAAGGACTCCGACTGTCAACGGAGGATGTATGTGGCGCAGCGCAGAGAGATGATCTAAAACTATTCAAGATACCTGTAGCAACTGTAAAAGTGTTGTTATCGCATCAGTATTAAATATTTAATCCTTTTTTTTTATAAGCAATTGGAACAGATATAACATTTACACAAATTTACCGTGCGCTGATGGACAATTACGCGCAGAAGTTGCGGTGCGTAATAATGATAATCCTCGCGGATGGCTGTGTTTCATGTTCTTGGATTATGCGTACAAGCTTGTTATGATACCTGGTCATCGTCTTTCCTTCGTCTACAGTGGAGAAGAAAAGTAACAAAGGGACCACATGATGAGAAGCGCGGGGTTGTTGCTTGGCTACTTTTTGGTGAAAGTTCTTGAATGCTACGCGGAGGGGGAGCCAGGGCAGAAGCTGAACGGCTTTATTATGGTACCAACGGGTACCAACGAGTCAAAATTGAACGGAGAGAATAGCGTTTCGGAGAGTCCGCGTACAGAGGACAAGTGCCGGGGTTATTACGATGTGATGGGCCAGTGGGATCCGCCGTTTGTCTGCCAGACGGGCAGTTACCTGTACTGCTGCGGGACCTGTGGCTTCAGATTCTGCTGTGAGTTTACAAGCTCGCGGCTGGACCAGACCACCTGCAAAAACTATGACACCCCGCCGTGGATGATGACAGGCAGACCCCCCCCCAAGAAAAAAGACCCCACTCACGACCCCACAAAGGATAAGACAAACTTAATTGTGTATATAATATGTGGAGTTGTTGCCATAATGGCCCTCGTTGGGATTTTCACAAAACTTGGACTTGAAAAGGCGCACCGTCCACACAGAGAAAACATGTCAAGGTGAGAGTGTATAACAAACAACCCCAGCTGTCGCTGTGCGCAATGCAGTAACAACTTTGGATAGCCTAAATGAATGCAGGAATGTAACTTTTATTTGGGTGTCAGAAGTTTCCTTAAAATATTTCGATGCATTAAAGATGCTGTTTTGTTAAAATAGGTGATAACCCACTGGACGCAGACGTCAGTTCAACTTCTAGTTTTGATTTACATTTGGTTGAAATCAACAAAAAATCAACAAAAAATGTAATTGGATTTAGGTTTCCTTGATGATTTAGGTTACCATTTCCTTACCTTGATGACTTTTTTCAAGTCCAGTCAGTTTTCCCACATCACATAGATTTGTTGGTTGGAATGACATGGAAACAACGTTGATTCATGATTCAACCTGTTTTTGCCCAGTGGAAAGTGTTAAAATATAGAATAAATCGACATGCTCAGTCAGTTCTACTGACCACAATACATATGCAGCCTACTATATTGTATTTGTGAGTGGCTGTGAATACCTGTCCAATTGCATTGGTGTCTTGAGATTCTATCAAAATGCCATACTTTTCATTCTGAATGATTGAGACCTCTATACTTAATAATAATGAGCACACTATGTCCTGGTAAAACCAGATGTGCTGTAGGTAGTAGTGTGTGATGAGCCATGCTCTCATCTCCCTTGATATCATTTCATCTCACACCCAGATGGTGACATTAAGGCCACTTTTTTTACTCCATTACACCTGCAATTGTTTTTAATTATCTCACTGCCCTAGATTTCATCATTTTAATTAGCTTCATTATTCTTTGACGTTATGTGTACACTCAAGGTTCACTTACCCCAAAAACGGGTTGATTCAATGTTGTTTCCACATCATTTCAACAAAAAGATTCAGTGATGACTTTGAATCAACATGGAAAACTGATTGGATTAGCAAAAAGTCATCAACGTAAGGGAATTTCATATTCTTTTCACCCAACTTTTAACCTAAATCCAATGACATGGTGAAATGTTTTGTTAATTTCATATTGAACATGTGTTAGTTGACAACTCAACCAAATGTTTATCAAAACTAGATATTGAACTGACCTCTGTGCCCAGTGGGCTGCCTTTGTCTCAACATGCCTTGGGATCCCTACTATCATTTGTCATATTTCCCACCTACAGTATATTATCAATGCCCAAAGGAAGGTGATCCCACTAACCCACTGTAGCATAAAAGGTACTGTGCACATCAAACAAAAACCCTTTGAGCATATGATAATTGGTCATTGGTAGGTCATCTACAAGTACGATGCAAGCATGTGAATAATTGCTTTGATTTAATTGGCCTAGATTGAATTTGAGTCTACATTATTCAAACATTAAGACTTGTAAGGATTTCCGATAAATAGCAGATAAATATTGAGGTTTACAGCATTTGAGCTACTGCTACTGTAATTTTGCTTGATTTTGGAGCTATTTTGATTTCCATGTCATGCTTTATTATTGAGTGGACCAGCTGATTGAGGTGTTTGTGTTTCGTCAGGGCTCTAGCCCAGGTGATGCGCCAGCCTGGTCCAGGAGAACACTCAGAAGACATTGGGGTGCATGGACAGCACTATGACAACATGCAAGCCAACAGGGTACCTGCTAACAGTCTCCGTAAGTGGGCCTCTTCCATCCAATGTCTCATTTCATAGAGAATAGCCACTATAACAATAATTTGATACTCATTGGAAAGTATAACCATCTTACCACAACCAGTGGTAAGATGTGTGCATGGTGTATTATGTGGAGCTCTGCAATGCATTAGGTATGGTCATGATTGAGATACAGAGATAGTATAAACAGGATGCCATCTGCGGAAGACTGAGGGTCTGACTGCTGTGATCAGAATAATCATGCACAACCTTTACCTTTGTACATACATACACACATTTCAAACAGCCACCATCAGTAAACCTTATCATACAAGAGAACGTTGACATTTTCATTTTCATAAATGCTGGAGTCCTATTGAAATGCCCAACAGACTCCGATTGGTCTTTGTGGTTGTAGTGAGGCAGCTGTGAAATTCAAAGGCTTATTCACCACCACCCTTCGCCTTCCTGGCTCGCCTGATTTAGCTGCTCCAGATAAGACAGTTGTGAAAGAAGTCCATTTTGTTGAGTCCTGTGGGCTGCTGAAGCAATTACTCACAGCCTCAGTAATCATTTAACACACTGGGATAATTAGCATCATCAACCGCTGCTGACTAATAGTAGTATAACGCTTTCGCTGCTCTCCATCTCTTACAACTGGCTCTTTCTTTCTCATCTCTCTCTTTTTCGTCTCTCTCGAACAAGCAGCCAAGCAAGCACGCACACAGGCACACATCTATACACAGACCCGCAAGCATTCACTCACTCACTCACTCACTCACTCACTCACTCACTCACTCACTCACTCACTCACTCACTCACTCACTCACTCACTCACTCACTCACTCACTCACTCACTCACTCACTCACTAACACTCATGGATGATGCAGGCTTCATTATGTTATTATGCATTGCATGTCTCAGACTGCCGGTTGCCATCACACAGGCTAGGCTTTACTCACTAATGGCAATTGACAGACTTTTCCCCATTTGCTTGTTTGGAAGTGATTCTAATGCATGCCCTCTGTTGTTGGAGCGACGTAAAATGACATGTTTACACTTTTCAAGCTGAAAAGGAGTGTCAATATTTGTCATGAAAAACATGCTGTTTGTTTGTGTGAGATGGACAAATTCGACTTGGAGAGAATGATAATGGGAATACTAGTTTTATGTTGACGGCATCAGCATATGGCAACAGAGGTTGTTTTTTGTTGTTGTCGAAAGTGAAGTGGATGAGGCAGCTCTGGGTCAAGAGCCTCCACTTTGATTCTTGAGTGTAGCTGAGTGTAGCTTCCACCAATAATTGAAGCTTGTAGCTTGTATTTGCATGAAGAGCTGGCATATTTCTCTCCCGTCCCTTGGGTAGGAATTACCAAAGGGATTGGAGACCTAGTTCAGCAATCAGGTGGGCTGCATGGATACACATTGGCATTGTCTCTCCTCACAGTATATGGAAGGATCCATACCTTTTCACACAATAGCACTGTAGATTGGAGAGGGTAGATGAGTGGAGAGGTGGGTTCTGGGTAATCTCTTCCTTTGTCAGTGGCCCTCCCACCTCCTCCTAGCACAACACTATCTCTTTTAGTCCATCGCATCAAGTTGAAGCAACAAGGACCTCTTCAATCTCCACTGTGTCGGCTCACGAAATGGATGTGTAATTTAGTGTGACAGAGCTTTTCAGGTGTCCTTAGAAGGCCAGGGTTTGGGTGGATGCAGTGTGCGATTCCACTAGAGTCAATACACTGTTCTTTATTGGTTTGGCATAATGTGGGCATTATGGAATCAGAAGGAGCAGTTTATCACTATTAAGTTGTGTGCTGTATTAGAATAGAGGTAGTGTTGTTTAGTTATGCTAACTAGAACCCTTATTCAATAAAGGGGGATGATAGCACAGGTTTCTTTGAGCAGCTATTCACACTCATTCCCACACTGACTGTCCTCTTGTAAAAAGTCTCACAGGCAGAGCAGTGTCTTGCTGTTTCATGAGAAGATGTGATGAGTTATTGTATCAGTGTGAACAGCCTCAGCCAGTGAGCTCACTGTTGGAGATGTGGAGAGGTGCAGGGAGGTGTGTGAGGGGAGACACCCAGGTGTTGTGCTGCTAAAGAGCTGACTCCATCTCCATGCAGGCTGAGGGGTAATAACCCAGAGAGTGGAGTGTGTAACTGTGCTGGGAGCAGGGCCATTTCATAGAGCACTGGGACTAAAAAATTCCCAGTTCTCCAGTCTGAAATGCCATTAAAGTGCTTAAATCTGAGAGTGCTGAGTCTGACTGGTGGCAGGCACATACTCTCAGGCAGCAACACAGTGTGTGATTGTTTTGAATTAGGTAACCCACTGGGGTCAGGCTGGTACAAAGCATGGCAGTAGTGCAGTTTAGTAGACAGACATCAAGTCAGGAAATTGACAGGGCTTTTTATGGTAGCATGGTACCTCAGCAAGAATAGTAAGAAACCTCAGCCACTAGACTAGAGAGCATAATCAGTGTTGCTATAGTGGTGTAAAAAAATAAAAGATCCAATCAAAACAAGGGAAATTGTTTAATTCAAATTGATTTCCAAATTTGCCTAATACAGCATCAATAGAATCGGAATGGAATGAAACCCCTTGAGCTGAGGCGCCTGAAGAGTGTTATTCTGGTGAATGAATCTCATTATCACACATGTAAAACAAGCACACTACGCCAGCAGAAGCTCTCACTTGGACAGGCTATTTCACTGGATGTGAATTATGCAGGGTATCTAATCTAGTCTGAGGCTTATGTCCATATAAGTGACACCTCATGGCATACATTGACTGCCAAGGAGGACTGTCTGTGTGTGAACTCTGTCTTGTGAGAGAGTAGCGCTCTGAAGAGGTGACAGCACAAGTAATTAGGTTCATGTGAGGCTGCATGTGTTTGAGTAACATCTCCTCCTGTGTTTTCAATCTAATGTTATATTACCCTGGACACTTGCTGCATTGAGGGTTCAATTGAAAGAGACTCATTAGCATGGTGAAAGCCCTGTCAGGCTTACTTGTGTCAATATCAAGGTATTTATTCAAAATAATGTTTTTTCTTGGCCTTTTTGTCTGCGTATTGTGCTTTTTAGTAATTGTACAATATAATTTAAAGGAAAACAATGGGAAAAAATGGGTTGAATCAACGTTGTTTCCACGTCATTTCAACCCCAAAATTCAGATGTGATGATGTTGAATCAAGGTGGAAAACTGATTGGATTTGCAAAAAGTCATCAACGTAAGGGAATTTGGTATTTTATTCACCTAACTTTTCACCTAAATCCAATGACAGGATGACATTTTTGGTTGATTTCCCGTTCAATTCACGTTAGTCGATAACTCAACCAAATGTAAAAATGTTGCACTGACGTCTGTGCCCAGTGGGAAAGCTTTCTCCCATTGTTATGGCCGTAGACTTCAAGTACATTCAAGTAATGGGCTCCCGAGTGGCGCAGCGGTCTAATGCACTGCATCTCAGTGCTTGAGGCGTCACTACAGACCCCCTGGTTCGATTCCAGGCTGTATCACAACCGGCCGTGATTCGGCGGTGCACAATTGGCCCAGCGTCGTCCGGGTTTGGCCGGTGTAGGCCGTCATTGTAAATAAGAATTTGTTCTTAACTGACTTGCCTAGTTAAATAAAATAAAAAATAATGAGGCCTTTGTTTCAAATACCAATGTTGAAATGTTCATTAACCCTCGTCAGACCTTTAATTGATTATGAAAGAACTGTGTTATGATTAGATCATGGCTATTAATTTTTTTTGAAGGGCTTTGATATTCACAATACAAAATCCACTCTTGTATACAAGTAGGCTCGTTGGGTCAGTGGTTTCCGGTGCTTCAGATCATGCATGCTATATAGTGCCTTCAGAAAGTATTCGTACCCCTTGACATATTCCACATTTTGTAGTGTTACAGCCTGAATTCAAAATGGATTAAACATAGTTTTTCTCACCCATCCACACACAATACCCCATAATGACAAACTGAAAACATGTTTGTAGAAATGTTAGTAAATGTATTGAAATAAATTGACATAGGTATTCTCACCCCTGAGACAAAACATGTTAGAGTTACCTTTGGCAGCGATTACAGCTGTGAGTCTTTCTGGGTAAGTCTCTAAGAGCTTTGCACCTAAGGATTGTACAATATTTGCACATTATTCTTTTTAAATTCTTCAAGCTCTGTCAAGTTGGTTGTTGATCATGGCTAGACAGTCTTGCCATAGATTTTCAAGCAGATTAAAGTCAAAACTGTAACTAGAACATTCAATGTCATATTGGTAAGTAACTCCAGTGTATATTTGGCCTTGTGTTTTAGGTTATTGTCCTGCTGAATGGTGAATTTGTCTCCCAGTGTCTGTTGGAAAGCAGACTGAATCAGGTTTTCCTCTAGGACTTTGCATGTGCTTAGTTCGATTTCTGTTTCTTTTTATCCCAAAAAAACCTCCCAGTCTTTACCGATTACAAGCATACCCATAACATGATGCAGCCTCCACCATGCTTGAAAATATGAAGAGTGGTACTCAATGATGTGTTGGATTGCCCCAAGCATAACGCTTTGTATTCAGAACATAAAGTTAATTTCTTGGCCACATTTTTTGCAGTTTTACTTTAGTGCCTTAATGCAAACAGGATGCATGTTTTGGATTTTTTAAATTCTGTACAGGCTTCCTTCTTTTCACTGTGTGATTTAGGTTAGCATTGTGGAGTAACTACAATGTTGTTGATCCATCCTCGGTTTTCTCCTATCACAGTTTCCTTCCTCTCTGGCAACTGAGTTAGGAAGGACACCTGTATCTTTGTAGTGACTGGGTGTATTGATACACCATACAAAGTGTGATTAATATATCAATAAAATATCAATGTAATCTATTTTAAATTCAGGCTGTAACACAACAAAATGTGGAATAAGTCAAGGGGTGTGAATAATTTCTGGAGGCACTGTATATGGCTCAGGTGGTTTCCATTATGATGCCCTCATGTCACATGATGGAACTAATACATATGGTGCCAATATGCATGACATCTCCATGGAAATGAAGGTATTATGACCAATTTGCCTATCCATGGATTTTTGCTGTTGTAGGTAAAATATTAATGAGCAGAAAAGTGATTGTTGTTAAATTACAATAACTTAAGAGGCAGAATGCATTATATCTGACTTTGAATTAATTTCCCCACAGTGGCAAAAGGACCTATATATACACTTGCAGTTTGCAGTTACACTGTCAACTCTTAAAGGATTGTGCATGCCTGTATCCATGGCAATCTCACACAATTGTGCTGACAATGATTTTGTTCTGCCCCTTTCAACTTCAGATTGAACTGACAAAAATATACCATGTACTTTTATCTAGGGAGATTCCCCTGATAAAAACTATACATATAGACATTTGAGGCACCCTTAAATGTCACAATAATCATGCTTTGCGGGAAATACTAATAAGGAATGAACATTCCTAATAGGCAACTTGGTTCTTTGTTTTAAACACATCAACTGTAGAACAAGTATAGCGGAAATGTGTGTACAAGGTAGTATCTTTCAGAAAATGGCTGCCTAGTTGTCACACGCATATAGTACCCTGAACATAAAGCCTACTGTACCTCAAGGTGCGCCTACGAGATGAGTTTTCTCCTTCAGCTGAAATTATTATTATTCACTTTAATGAATTCAGGCGGTCTAGGTGCTGCCATGACAGGCGAATAATTAATCATTCTTTAAACAGAGAACCCTTTTTTTCTTCCGTGCCCCCTCCTGGAATAATGATCAGTTCATTACCAGCCAGCCGACATGTTGACAGCTAGGTGGTGGTGGATATCAGGGGTTCAGGAGCAGCTAGCGATGGGATGGGAGCTTCAGCACTGTGGCCTATGGCTGCCTCAATGATAGTTCGTAGTATAGCTATTAGTAAGATACATTTAGACCTACAGCAAAATGTAATCAGAAAAAAGATGATCATGAGTCCCTCCCTGTACATTAAAACAACACACCATGTTCAACAATGTAATCTAAAAGTAAGCTGTAGGTTTATCATATACCATACTGCCGATCAGACCCCAACACCCAATGCCCTCATGTATAACCAATGACAAGGATTTAGTTTAGGACTGCCTAATGGCATTTTTGAGTAGTTCAATAATAGGGGCTTACTGCAGATACCTTAGACCACTTGTTCTGAACATACTCACACCACTCAGGATACTCTGCTTCCATGCTGGCTGGTGATTGGGAAATTACACAGAGGCCCTGTTGGGGGTTCTAACACATCCAATGTAATGTAATATTAATATTAACGTCCGCTGGGAATGGTCACAGTTTCAAAGGGGGCTTTCTTCACTTACTCTGTAAAGAGGGTTCTTTGGTCATCTTTTCTTTGTTGGCAAATGTTGGCAAGCCCCTCTTAAGTGTTGAAGTTTTTTCCCAGCTAAATGATGAATATCAACATTTATAAACAGATTAAAAATGTAGATGAAGCACAGCCCATGTTAGATCATGAGCATTATTAGTGCATCATTGGCATCTTAGTATCCCCGATCTACAATACCATAGGAAACAAATCCCTCTGAAAAATATATTGCTGTTTTTGACCATACAATTCTTGTCATACTGTTTGTGAAATTTACTGTTCGTCCATTACTCTTTTGTAATTATTACTCAGCAAAGACAGAGGTAGTTGATGTCAACAGTCTGACCAGACATTTCTTGTAGAAAATGGATGCTTTGGGAAATAAATGGTCATTGTCAGAATAGAAACCCAAACAATCACAACGATGAATCTTACAACCTCAAAATCACCATACTTTATTAGTCCAGGAGTCCAGGAGTTCAGGAGGAACACCTTGAGTAAAGGAGCAGTATAGAAATATCCAGTCAACCTTCAGTCATTGTAGTCAGTCATTATATCTCTACTGGTTCTGGTAGTTCTCTCTTTGTAGATAATGCCTCAGTTGTACAACAACATACCTCCCATGTTATTTCAATTTTCAGGCAGGTTTGCATCTGGTTGCAACAAAATTGGTTGTGCTCTGTTTTCGCCCACATGAAAATGTATCACTGTCACTGTCGTTTTGATGTATTTGAGGACATCAAGGTGTGGCTTTCACACACACACACACACACACACACACACACACACACACACACACACACACACACACACACACACACACACACACACACACACACACACACACACACACACACACACACACACACACACACACACACACACACACACTATATTGGTACGAGATAAACAAAGACACAAGGATCTAATTTTGTCAACTGGACATGAGCGGTAAAGAATTGAACCGACAGGAACAGCAACATTAGCTTTGTGACTGAGCCCTCTTCAGTTGGTTGCTAAGCGTTCAGGAGATGAATCCCCTTGTTCAGCTGCAGTAGTCTGTGAGACTCAAGAACACAGAGCATTCCTTTGTGAAACAACTAGAGAAATGGAAGCACTACAGATGGATTTGTAACATTAGATCAACTGGCTACAATGGACAGATATTACAATAGAACAACAAAGCCTGTTAGCATACAAAGCATACAAAGTGTCCTTTCTCCCAATCAATAGAAAAATCCCTCAGAAACATTTGACGAAATCCTGTACACTGTATACAGAATATAGTCTGCTATATCCCTGAGATAATAGGCTTGATAAGACATTGTTGGGAGGCAATGCTTTGTGCTTCCTTCGCATATCTTATGTGCAATTATGTTGACTGCACAACAGCTCCACTAAAAGTGTTATGTTCTCCCTGGCGTTTTGCTTCTGTCTCTTTGACTCACTTCTGGGCAGAGGGTAGAGTGGTGTGTCTATAGGGCACAGTCCTGCGCCTGTTCCCCTCCTCGTCCCCTAGCCATGTCTGGCGCTGCCAAGTGTACCCATGCCAGGGCTGCCTCCCTAGGATGGATGCTGCCTCTATGGCAGGGGTTGTGGGTGCCTGATTGGCACTGAGTGAAATGGTCCAGAGGGAGTTCACACTCGTGTCAGCCGTCACAGATGACCCAATCCTCTCAGACAGACAGGGCTGTGCTCTAGTTCCCTCTCCTCTCCTCTAGTTCCCTCTCCTCTGGGTGGGTGGCTGGCTGGCGGCTAGGCTACACTTCACTCCTGTCCTGTGTGCTGCTGGGGCCATCTTGGCCACACGCACTGTCATGTCCCTCTCCTCCAGGCCTGCCTGTGTGAGCAAGGGGCACCTGTGGCCACTTGGCCTCTTTTCTCTCTAGGCAGCCAGCCGAAGAGAATAAAGTTCTCCCTTGCTGCCAACACATACGGCCGGACGGCCTGGCAGGCCATTTCCCCACAAGACAGTGTCACAGGAAACTGTATTTAAATGGATTACTACTACCTACAATGATGAATGTTAACAGCGCATTTTGTTTCTGCCCTTCCTTTTTATATCTGTCTTGTTGAATGGCACTAGACAAAAGAATGCTGTGATCATTTTGAGACACTTTAGTTAAGCTTCCGCCTAAGGGCCAAACCTCCTTTAAAAGTACTGGTGCTGCATACTAATACTGTAGGTCTATATCTTTGTTGGTACCTGACATGAATGATAACACCTTGTCAAGCTCGCAGGCTGAGAAGAGAAGCTTGATACAACAAGGTTGAAAAAGTGAAATGAGGGTTTACTCCCACTACTGGCATACAAATTAAGTTCTCTCTTGTCTAAACTAATCTATTTCATGTACCGTAAGTAGCACATGGCAATATGCAAGCACTTGGATGAGCAGATAGTGATTAGCTTTTGCATTGCTATGGGCATATTATTTATTTTGTAGAAGTCACATTTGTGTCTGTACTGTAGATGCATGAAACGCACACTTCCATGCATGGACAACTTTGACCCAGCTGGTGGCATGGAGAGTACAACTCTCATAAATAGTGCACACAAACCCACCATCATGCAGGGTTTTAAGTAGTTCACACAGACCACAGCACACACATCTTAATGCACGAAATAGTGAATATGTTTTATCTATATTGAATGTACCTTTTGCAAATCGTTATTCTGTGCTTGTATTTTTACCCAACTGTTACTGAATTATCCATTCATAAAGCACATACAATGGGGTCACTGTAATGAATAAGTAAGACAAAATCACTGTGTTGTCCATCCAATGTACTCTTAGCATAGGGGACCATCAATTTCATTCAGTAATACAAAAAGACAAAGCTTATACATTCGATTTATATATGCAGTGCCGACATATAAATTCATAAAATGTTAATTTCATGCAGGCTTTTTGTGAGCGCAGCAGAGCCTATTCTCCCTCAGCAGATAAATAATGGGAGTATGAACTGTTGCTCATGTGGGTGTTGCCAACTGGTTAATGTATGGACTATGGAGACAAGCCATTGTAAGTTAGAGATTCCATTACTTAGTTGGTGTAGTCAAACTTGCCTCTTGAGAGAAACCTGTTCACCTAGTTTGCCAATCAAGCCATAAACAATAAACATTTACAAAGTGAATTGTCTCCCTTAATAACACTCAGAGTCTGGAAGCGTAGGCTACATTTCAGAGGTGAACTGATGAATGCGTATAAATATAAGGTAGTGGAAGCAGGTGGAGCACAGAGAATGAGTGAACAATGCTCTGAGAGAAGAGAAGAGAGGAGGCGTTATTGATTCCTCTGCTGCTTTTATCTGATAGTGAGCTCTACCTGTCAGATTGGAATACACAGACAATGGCTTCCCTCTGTCTGTAGGCATTCAGATACATACTGTTTTCATGCCATCATCTGCACCCAGATCGGTTATGTTCCATCCCTGCATATGCCTATTTTATGTAAATTACAACTGAGGAAATTCAACCTATAAAATTACCTGTCAAGTCATGATTTACCCTGGTGAGTCAAAGGTTTTTCTCATCAATCTTCAAGGCCTGACTAGTAATCTCTCAGCTTGTCCAACCTACAGTTGAAGTTGGAAGTTTACATACACCTTAGCCAAATACATTTAAACTCAGTTTTTCACAATTCCTGACTTTTAATCCTAGTAAAAATTCCCTGTCTTGTAGTAGAGAGAATGATTTATTTCAGCTTTTATTTATTTCATCACATTCCCAGTGAGTCAGAAGATGACATACAATCAATTAGTATTTGGTAGCATTGCCTTTAAATTGTTTAACTTGGGTCAAATGTTTTGGGTAGCCTTCCACAAGCTTCCCACAATAAGTTGGGTGAATTTTGGTCCATTCCTCCTGACAGAGCTGGTGTAACTGAGTCAGGTTTGTAGGCCTCCTTGCTCGCACACGCTTTTTCAGTTCTGCCCACAAATGTTCTATAGGATTGAGGTCAGGGCTTTGTGATGGCCACTCCAATACCTTGACTTTGTTGTCCTTAAGCCATTTTGCCACAACTTTGGAAGTATGCTTGGGGTCATTGTCCATTTGGAAGACCCATTTGCGACCAAGCTTTAACTTCCTGACTGATGTCTTGAGATGTTGCTTCAATATATCCACATAATTTTCCTTCCTCATGATGCCATCTATTTTGTGAAGTGCACCAGTCCCTCCTGCAGCAAAGCACCCCCACAGCATGATGCTGCCACCCCGTGCTTCACGGTTGGGATGGTGTTCTTCGGCTTGCAAGTCTTCCCCTTTTTTCCTCCAAACATAACGATGGTCATTATGGCCAAACAGACCAGAGGACATTTCTCCAAAAAGTACAATCTTTGTTCCCATGTGCAGTTGCAAACCGTAGTCTGGCTTTCTTATGGCGGTTTTGGAGCAGTGGCTTCTTCCTTGCTGAGCGGCCTTTCAGGTTATGTCGATATAGGACTTGTTTTACTGTGGATATAGATGCTTTTGTACCTGTTTCCTCCAGCATCTTCACAAGGTCCTTTGCTGTTGTTCTGGGATTGATTTGCACTTTTCGCACCAAAGTACGTTCATCTCTAGGAGACAGAATGCGTCTCCTTCCTGAGCAGTATGACGGCTGTGTGGTCTATCAGAAGCTTCTAAAGCCATGACATCTTTTTCTGGAATTTTCCAAGCTGTTTAAAGGCACAGTCAACTTAGTGTATGTAAACTTCTGACCCACTGGAATTGTGATACAGTGAATTATAAGTGAAATAATCTGTCTGTAAACAATTGTTGGAAAAATTACTTGTGTCATGCACAAAGTAGATGTCCTAACTGACTTGCCAAAACTATAGTTTGTTAACATGACATTTGTGGAGTGGTTGAAAAACGAGTTTTAATGACTCCAACTTAAGTGTATGTAAACTTCCGACTTCAACTGTAAGCATAAAGAAGGAAAGCCAGGGGCTATACACACATTTACATGGAATGTAGACTTCCATCAGGGCAAATAAGAGTGACTGACTGACTTTCTTCTTGCGCACTGTCTAATACCCTGTAAATCCGTCTAGCAGAGGTAGGTTTCTGTGAGAGGCTCAATGTTAAATGTCACACTGACTATTCTAGACAAATGAATTTGTGAAAATACTGACGAACTGTGCAAAGTATTGAAATCACATTCCATGCAGTAGGTATAATGGAAGTATGGATACAGTGGGGAAAAAAAGTATTTAGTCAGCCACCAATTGTGCAAGCTCTCCCACTTAAAAAGATGAGAGAGGCCTGTAATTTTCATCATAGGTACACGTCAACTATGACAGACAAAATGAGGAAAAAAAATCCAGAAAATCACATTGTAGGATTTTTAATGAATTTATTTGCAAATTATGGTGGAAAATAAGTATTTGGTCAATAACAAAAGTTTCCCAATACTTTGTTATATACCCTTTGTTGGCAATGACACAGGTCAAACGTTTTCTGTAAGTCTTCACAAGGTTTTCACACACTGTTGCTGGTATTTTGGCCCATTCCTCCATGCAGATCTCCTCTAGAGCAGTGATGTTTTGGGACTGTCGCTGGGCAACACGGACTTTCAACTCCCTCCAAAGATTTTCTATGGGGTTGAGATCTGGAGACTGGCTAGGCCACTCCAGGACCTTGAAATGCTTCTTACGAAGCCACTCCTTCGTTGCCCGGGCGGTGTGTTTGGGATCATTGTCATGCTGAAAGACCCAGCCACGTTTCATCTTCAATGCCCTTGCTGATGGAAGGAGGTTTTCACTCAAAATCTCACGATACATGGCCCCATTCATTCTTTCCTTTACACGGATCAGTCGTCCTGGTCCCTTTGCAGAAAAACAGCCCCAAAGCATGATGTTTCCACCCCCATGCTTCACAGTAGGTATGGTGTTCTTTGGATGCAACTCAGCATTCTTTGTCCTCCAAACACGACGAGTTGAGTTTTTACCAAAATGTTCTATTTTGGTTTCATCTGACCCTATGACATTCTCCCAATCCTCTTCTGGATCATCCAAATGCACTCTAGCACACTTCAGACGGGCCTGGACATGTACTGGCTTAAGCAGGGGGACACGTCTTGCGCAGCAGGATTTGAGTCCCTGGCGGCGTAGTGTGTTACTGATGGTAGGCTTTGTTACTTTGGTCCCAGCTCTCTTCAGGTCATTCACTAGGTCCCCCCGTGTGGTTCTGGGATTTTTGCTCACCGTTCTTGTGATCATTTTGACCCCACAGGGTGAGATCTTGCATGGAGCCCCAGATCGAGGGAGATTATCAGTGGTCTTGTATGTCTTCCATTTCCTAATAATTGCTCCCACAGTTGATTTCTTCAAACCAAGCTGCTTACCTATTGCAGATTCAGTCTTCCCAGCCTGGTGCAGGTCTACAATTTTGTTTCTGGTGTCCTTTGACAGCTCTTTGGTCTTGGCCATAGTGGAGTTTGGAGTGTGACTGTTTGAGGTTGGGGACAGGTGTCTTTTATACTGATAACAAGTTCAAACAGGTGCCATTAATACAGGTAACGAGTGGAGGACAGAGGAGCCTCTTAAAGAAGAAGTTACAGGTCTGTGAGAGCCAGAAATCTTGCTTGTTTGTAGGTGACCAAATACTTATTTTCCACCATCATTTGCAAATAAATTCATTAAAAAACCTACAATGTGATTTGTCTGTCATAGTTGACGTGTACCTATGATGAAAATTACAGGCCTCTCTCATCTTTTTAAGTGGGAGAACTTGCACAATTGGTGGCTGACTAAATACTTTTTTCCCCCACTGTATATTAGGTTATTTTCTGTACATGAATCTGAAATATTTCAATGCAACAAAGCAATGCAAAAACATTTGATGAAACTACAAGCGTGCATCAAATAGTTTTGTTTGATTGATCTTAGGATCCCCATTATGAAGTATTGCTAATAAATGATACTGTATATGTTATTGGAGGTTTTAGGACTTTAACTAAACCTGTGAATGAGCGTGGCCTTCTCATTGAGGTTTTAGGACTTTAACTAAAC